AACCACGACTGCAACCCATAGCTGCTGCCGACTGTAAAACCATGGTGGCAGCTCAGTGTGGACAGAATAAACAAGCTAGAGGAGAACAGGACAGCTAGTACACAACAAAAGCGAGGCAGGAGCAACACAGCCAGGAATCCCACCACCACCGATGCCACATATACATGATCCATATGTCATAGAATCTGTGGTTCTAGAATCTGACTCTTTAGACACCAGAGAGCCCTCCATTAAAGGAAGAACATGGACCTCATCATTGCAATAAGATGGACAGCAAGCGTCGTGTGCAAATATCCGGACCAGTCATAGGGATTCTAAATAAACAATTAAATAAATAATCTGAAAGACGAATGTGTACACTTGTAAATTGGTTGTAATCATAATGCATTTTTTTCATACACTGAATTTAGGAGGTAAACCAGAATGTCAGCCATCAAACACGATACTTTTGCACTCTGAGTTATGATCTATAGCAGAGTTTTATGTACGATTATTGTGTTACTTTCCAAGTAAAAAGTATAATGCAAGAACATACTAAACATACTCATTATCTATTGCATGAAAAGGAAATTTTAGGTAATTTATGTCAGTTTTCTTTTATATAATTCAAGAGAAAGTGAACAAAATGCCAAGCTTTACCTGGTAACCCTATAAAAACGATGAAGAGGAGGAAGAAGAGAGGAGCCATGTCTGGTGTGTCGATTGTGGCCTTTAGCTGTATCTGTTTCTATCCTTCTGTAATAAACTGACTGTCTGTCCTCATTCTGAATGTGTCAGTGCATTAAAGAAGGGGCCTGACAGAGAGGGAAGGAAGGAGATCTCACACATACACAAACACACACACACACACACACACACACACAGGGCATCAACCACAAACACCCCGAATCATTGCGAGCTACTTTCTCAACAGTTTCTGCATCTTTCATAATGAGTCGTCAACAAGGCTCTGCAGAGAAGTAGCAGACAGGTTTGATGTCTCTGCTCCTTTAATTCAGACACTAGCCTTAAATACTAGATCATTTTGCGAAGTAAGAAAGGCCACCAGAAACCACATTCCTGCAGAATCCCATATCATCCTGATTTAATTAACTGCAGCTAATTAGCTGGTT